GCAGAGGGCGAAATAAAATTACTTACCAGTTATGTTACTTTATTTTTCTGCAAAATAAATGCGTATTTACCCTCGGCACTTTTCCGCAAAGTGCTGATGGGAATTTTTTACACCACTCTTCCGCAGAGGGCAAAAATTAAATACTTACCAGTATACTGAAAAATAAATTCTGAAATACATATAAATAGTATTAATTATTAATATTATTTTTAAAAGAAAAAATATAAAATCGAACAACAAAGTTGTTAATTTTACTGCAGGGTGTTCGCACGACGAAAGTCGATGCCAATGTGAGGAGCCGGCAGTCTGCTGGCGACAAGCTGGGCTCCCCACCACCACTGCGCCACGCGATCACGTGGCGATGACGTGCCGCCGGAAGTGGTTGTGGGGAGCCAATCAGGGCTGTTCAAAGGAAACGGAAGTGGTGTTGTCTCACTCTACAGGTCACTCTACAGGTCTCTAATAACGGTTCAAAGCATATAATAATAATATAAGGTACATTTTGTTAATGAGTCGACTCGCACGTACTTTGCGTGTATAATACTTTTAAATATTTTATACGTAGGCCTATTACAGAACCTATCGTTGTTGTGCGCACAACTTAATAATATAGGATCAGGGTTTAAGACATAATAAGTTCTCCAACAGTTTAAATATATGTACTGAAGGATCTGATCTCTATTAGGGTCACGATTTAAGACTCCTTGGTCCCCAACTATCTTCACAGAGGAAAACTCGTTCGCACCATGATCAGAATGAAGGGTCGCTCCCTATGTACCTTATTGTGTACCGGTTTACTCACATACATTCATCCATTCCTGTTCATACAAATACCATACATAAAGTCTCAATCCAATTGAATGAATTCGCAGATAAATAATTTTGTAATGCCTTGGGTGATCAATCCAGCAGCTTTACAAAACCCTTATTGCCAAATTATTCCTAACTGACCTAAAACCAAACAAAACTTGCCGTATACCTTAAAATATTCATCCTATAACCATCACCTTTACTATACCGTCAAAATGTAACTAATTGGACTCTATGGTTCAAGAAGATATTTAATACATTTTTCTGGACTACCTAATTACCTATCGCTATTCCTATAATTCCATTCAAAAGAAACGTAGCTAGTTACTCACCTTAGATGGTAGCAAAAGATATTTAATACGTTTCCAATATATGTACTTATTACCCACATTTTCATACACAGCTTCTGCACAGCAAATGCAAAATTAATTACTTTCATGGGAAAAGCTCTAAAATTAATACAATAATAAAAATTTCTTAAAATCTTTTCTTTATTATGAATGTAAATTGTAAGTTTTTAGTTAATAATTTATCTGTACCTATTAAAATGGTTTTTTTTTTTAATGTAGAGTTATTATTAATAAAATCCAAGTATGTAAGTAGTTATTATTTACAAACCATATAAACCCATATTTGTGATAGATACCCAAAGTCAAGTTTATTCTAAGCCTATCCTTCCTTTCAAACTTATGTAAATACATGAATAAAACCATATCTTGTGTTTTCCATGCATTCATTAGATAAAACAAAGTATATTGTTCAATTTGACCTACATTTCTACAGATACTCATGTGTCGCACAGGTGATCGGTGCATTCAACTTCTGAATCAGCAAAATTATCACATGACAATGGTCAATGATGATTGTTATAAATATGATTATGTAAGTACTATTGCATCGCACGGGGACGGGGCACTGAACTCCGTTGTCAGATGCGCTATATGACTGCGTCTTAGCTGAAATCTTGCATCATCTTTCGTGGCACGTGCCGAATTTTGCAGACAAGCAACATTTGATTTGAAATGTATTGTAAATATTTATGAACTTTGTTACCTACAATTTATCAAAATTATAAATGGTGTAATTAACGAACCTGTAAATAATAAACCTATCAAAGTCTTTCAAATTGCGAACAGAAATTTTGTGACTATGATTATAATATCAGAAATAGGTACTTCACTATTGTTCGTAAGATTAATACTGCAATTAAATTTATAACTGAACCCTATCTTAAAATATGATATCCACTTCGATATCTATGTGCCTTTAACAATTATAGTTAGTACTACATACAAAAATTAAAAATTATATTTTCGCTTTTCTCCGATAAAATTAAACACAAATTATATTTCAAGTTTCTACATAGGTAAGTGTCGAAATGTTGGATCATGCTTGGAACACCTTTAGTTTGTAGGTATAGAATTAATCACTTTTTTGTATGATGCGTAAATTTCGGCAAATTTAGTGACAATTAATTCTGATTCATTTTTACTTATCTTACTAACATAATATCATTTATTTTCACATAATAATCCATTTTTTTTATTATTTTTGGATTGACTCTAGATGTGCACATACTTTCTATTTTCAAAATGAAATTATGTTGAGTTAGGTCATCTATCTCTTTAAATACTTAGAATAACGTATTAAACTAACGCCTTGGAATGAATTTTACATACGTACCTACCCTTAAAAAAACTAACTAACTATGGGGACGCAAAACTGTGTAACATACAAAACATTTAAATATTATTATTATTTATCATCAGACCATCACAAAATAAGTATTATCTTTTATAATCATTAAAATGCAAATCGAGGCAAATAGTAGATATAACCAACATTCTTTTAACTGAAAAAAGAAATTCAAACACTACTTAATATCTGTAAAATATTCAAAGTCCAAAAATAAACGTAAAATGATTGACGGAAAATAAATCGATGCTATCATGAATTAAAATTACGTCTTTTTTTAATAAAAGTTCCTCTCTTATTTGACCCTTCAATCATAAAATCTAAATGTACGCATTGATGGAATATATTATTTAGTTAATACGGTAAGAACTTATCCATAAATCATGCTGTAATTGTAGCAGAAATAGTTCTATCTAAATTCAATAAAAGTTACATGATTACTAAAAGAATATAATAGTCTGTTGGGCAGGAAATTCCATTTTGATCCGTCGAGATGAGAAACTTCACGCTGTTGAAATAGGCACGTTCTAGACAAATAAGAAAGAAACACGGAACAAAAAGCACTTACGTTTTGTTGCACCAGGTAGTTGAATAACTTCGCAAGTTTCGGATTTTGGTTTTACACTTTACGCACTCTTTTGGTCATCTCATCAGTCATCGCATTCATCAGCCAGCAGGATCCACTTCCGACTCGAACAACCTCGCGGCGCCCTGCTACTCTGCTCATCTCACCGTTACTCATCTGACTCCAACACTCCCTGCGCCCTGCAACTCTCATCTTTCACCATCATCATTGTATTTATATCTGACTGCTAAAACTTTCGGCTCCGGCGGCATCCAATAGTTTGCTTTTTTTTCTTTTAGTTTGGTCATAAGTTCATAAGTACGTCATATTCATATGGCAGGTAAAGTTTTTCTCTATCTTTATCATTGTGTTGAAGATATTTGTAGTATATCTTTGTGGCGGTCCTCATCGCAATAGGCAGATGTTGTGTGCATTATTATGTATGTAGTTTTCCTTTCACAACAGATCCATAAAACAGTAATTTTTATTAACACAAAATAAACAACGTTCCCATAGCTAGTATAGTCTATACAGAGTCACGTAAATGCATGCGACGTTTTCACTTATTTATAATTTAACATATTAAGTATCACTATTGTTTATTGAATTTGCACGCTGCATCACTTTGGAGTTCATTGTAATGTCGCACGAATAAAGTTCACAAATTGTACTTAGGTCCATTTCACTTCACAAATTGTTCGAATTTTTTCTCTCCCCCGAACAACCAACCACATAAGTAACCACGGCTCAGCACTGCCTAGAGGCAGCGCTGGCAGGGTCGCCATGCGATGTGGGTTGTTGGGGGAGGATTAAGAGAAACGCAGTGCGCGGTGTTCAGACGTATATTGACTGATTATTACGGACTGCTACGACTTATAAGTAATACAGAACAATGGGCGGGGTGTATGTCACTACACTACACTGTCTTATCGCCTACGGTCTGTGTCCCAGTTGTCATCGTAAGTCTCACATCTCAAGTCTCCTGTGTGTTTATATAATTTCCGGATGAGTACGCAATTTGAATCTACGGCAACAGTAAGGCGTCTCTCTCTTCGTGTGGAACACTGAGTGGTTTAACGACCCAATGAACCCTGGTGTTAGAGTTTTACAACTACCTAGTACAATTAACCAGTAATACGTTTGAAACTGCTGGAGCGCGCCGAGCTTCGCTTGTATCATGCACTCGCGCGCACCTTTTTGCATTCTTTATGAAAATCCACAGCTTTTCCACGGTCTGGTGATTCTGATGGACTCTTTTTAGTGTTGCTGTGTCAACAATGTTTACGGAGTTAAGCAGCGCAATTCGCCGATGATGTCTTCATTCAGACACCGGAAGCAATAACAAAAACAGAATTGATTCTAAGTATGGATATTTGACATGCGCGACTTTTCCCTTGACACAATTTGAATTAACGGCGAATGAATAAATGAAGATGTTGAAAGTTTCGTGAGCGTCGGCTAGGCGCCGGTAGCTCAGTTGGTAGAGCCAGTGAGTGGGACGGTACCCCACGGCCCCGGGGTTCTAGCCCCGGTCGACGCTAAGATTTTTTCCACTTCTTATTTTCATTTAGAAGAAAATACGGTTTAACATCTACCGGTTGCGTGCGCATCCGCAGGCTTTTGCGAATTATTTATAAAAATCCACAGCTTTTCCACGGTCTGGTGATTCCGATGGAGTCTTTTTAGTGTTGCGATGTCAAGAACAATGTATACGGAGTTAAGCAACGCAATTCGCCATTGATGTCTTCATTCAGACACCGGAAACATCAACAAAAACAGAAGTTTTGACTCTATGGATATTTCAAATTCGCAACTCCAAATTTGTAAAAAGAAAGGAAATGATTCTAAGGACGACTTTTCCCTAGACACAATTTAAATTAACGGCGAATGAAGAAATTAAGAAATTGAAAATTTCGTGAGGGTCGGCTAGGCGCCGATAGCTCTATTGGTAGAGCCAGTGGGTGGGACAGTACCCCACGGTCCCGAGGTCAAGCCCCGGTCGACGCTAACATTTTTTCAATTTATTATTTTCATTTAGAATAAAATACAGTGTAACATTTAGCGGTTGCGTGCGCATCCGTAGGCTTTTGCGCATTCTTTATGAAATCCACAGCTTCTCCACGGTCTAGTGAATCTGGTTTAGCATATCTGAGTATTGTGGTGTAAAGAACAATGAGTAGAAGCTAAGCAGCACAATTCGCCATTGATGTCTTCATTCAGACACCGGAAACATAAATCAGGATGTGAATTTTTGATTCGGTGGTTCCTCATCTTCATAACTGTTACCACATCGCGAAATCCCATGATTGGTATTTTTGTTTCATAATGCGGCACTTGCGGGCCTGCGCAGCCTTTTCGCATACTTTAATCCACACGTACATACTTCATGGTCTACTGATTCTTCTTTAGCATATCTGAGTATTGTGGTGTAAAGAACAATGTGTACGGAGTTAAGCAGCGCAGTCCGCCATTGATGTCTTCATTCAGACACCGGAAGCATAAATCAGCGCGCACGACGTCGCGCGGGGTTATTCCGCGTGTCTTCCACTCTTACGTAGCCAGCAGTGCATACGTTATACTTGAGAGATTGACCATATAAAGCGTAAAAATATTGCGGCCTATGAAACTGAACATAACTATCATTGATGTGTTCATTCAGACACCGGAAGCATAAATCAGCGCGCACGACGTCGCGCGGGGTTATTCCGCGTGTCTTCCACTCGCGCGCAGCCGGCAGTGCATACGTTATACTTGAGAGATTGACCGTATAAAGCGTAAAAATATTGCGGCCTATGAAACTGAACATAACTATCATTGATGTGTTCATTCAGACACCGGAAACATAAATCAACGTGCCGCGACGTTATTCTGGATGTCTACCACTCTCGTGCGCAGCCAGCACTGCATACGTTATGCACAAAGATTGACCATGTAAGGCGTAAAAAGATTCTGGAAATTGTAGCCAATGAAACTAAACTGGTATAATTGGCTGAAAGTGAAGGACCCTATAAAGAAAACAGCTTTAACACAGCATTAGACAGAAACGTTTTTTTCTACACACATCAAGATAAAACCAACTTTCAAAGTTCATAACCGAGCATTTGCAAAGGGCGCCCCAAGACCGGCAACTTTCTGCTTGTTTGCATGTTTTATAACAACTTCGGCATGTTTACTCCAGAACTTCCGAACTAATTAAATTATCATCTGTTTTCAATAATTGGAATCTATAATTTTTTACTTGGGCATTGATAAAAGTCCATAACATATAGTTATAGAGAGAATAGCATCCATACTTTCGTGGGCATGATCCATTTAAAGACTGAAACTGAAGACTTCTACAAAGAAAACAGACCTGAAATACTCATATGAAAATGTTTCTGTTCCCTACACATAACATAAAACCAACTTTTGTCTAGCTCATATATCTAACCTAACGGAGCATTTACGAAGGACGTGCCAAGGTCGGTAACTTTCTGCTTGTTTACAAGTTTTATAACAACTTAGACATGTTTACTCCAGAACTTCCGAACTAATTAAATTATCATCTGTTTACAATAATTGGAATATTTAACTTGGACTTTGATAAGAGTCCATATCAATCATTATAGTTATACAGAGCTTATCATTCATACTTTCGTGGACACAACCCATTTAAACTAATTTATAGAAGAAACTGAAGACCTCTACAAAGAAAACAGACCTGAAATACTCATATGAAAATGTTTTTGTTCCCTACACATAACATAAAACCAACTTTTTCCTAGCTCATATATCTAACCTAACGGAGCATTTACGAAGGACGTGCCAAGGTCGGTAACTTTCTGCTTGTTTACAAGTTTTATAACAACTTCGACATGTTTACTTTCCCTCATATTGCTACCGTGAACCATCTTTCTTGTGGTAATATTACGCAGAAGTTCGGATGAGAGAGAGAACTTTTATCGGTGATCAACCATTGTATGGTGCGTGAAATTATTCTTAAATATATACGAAGAACAAACATTTTGAACTTGAATAATAATAATTAAAAGCTTTAGGATCTTTTGTACATTGGATAAGTTGCAGTTTCAGACAGGTGATCGATTTAACCTAGCATTCACTTATGCAATGGGAATTGGGATCGAAGTCAGGTAATATATTGTACTGACTGAAAATGGTTTACCGCAAGTGTTTTTCTCGTTTTGTTGGTATGTATTCATGACTTAGTCGAAACTAAGTTTACAAGTAAAACACGAGTAACCTAGGCTATTTTATACGCAAAAAACATCCTATTTCCACGTGAAAACATCAAAACAGCGGTATCGCTGGGCTTGTTCTAGTTATACTTATTGAATTGACTCATAAATTAAGACACCACATTGTAAACAGGCGCTTTTTTAGGTATTAAGGACTTATAACTTTTTTCAATACAAATAATTAGTAGGTATTCTCAAATTGATTTACCATTCTCAAACCGCAGGTGTCTTATAGACTCGTTCTCCACAAGAACAAAAAAAACAACAACGCTCGCGACGTGAGTAATTAATTTGGATCGTAAAACGCTTGTACGTTGTTTACGTTGATATAGCTGGTGGGAGTGGGCCCCGCATAGGTGGCGTTTGGCGTATGTGGAACAAAACATGTTGCGCAACGTCGATAACGAGACGGTCTTGTGACTAGAGTCGCGTCGCGTGCCACGAAAATGCCAGCTGGGAAAATGGATAAAAACATGTCAAATCTGCTGCGGAATACCAAATCTGGAGTCAGCGTGTTCAAACCGCCAACTAGTACTAGTGGCCCTCTGATATGGTTACGAGTACGTATGATAACGATCGCCGACTAAGTTATCATAGTTAGCAACTGGGACCGACGACTTAGCGTGAATTATTTCTTAAAAAATCTAATTGTTCAGCCTACAATGTTAGGTTACTACATTAACACCAAACTAGGAACAAATCAACTTGTGCTCGCTCTAGAACCGAATTAGGGACCTCTGGTTCCTGAAGCGAACGCTCAGATCACCGACAAAGTTAGCCCATATGTAACGTAAGATTCTTGAATAGTGTTATTTCACGACAAATTTTTACTCTATTGGCGATAGTGCCGCACTTCTTTCGTGGCGTAGACTCTAGCGTATGTGGGCCAACTAGCTGAAAGTTTGCTTCCAAGAAAACAAGGTACCTACCTACAATGAATTCGGATTTCAGTACAAATAAACAAGACAGATCAATGTGAATGTTGCTGGTAGGGTCGACGTACCAGTCACAAACTAGTTTGTTCTTATGACATACTAAGTAAGTAATATTTTTCTTTTAATGCAAAGAATATCAATCGGCCTGTAATATTGAGATTTGCCGCGTGATGCCGGGTTAGAATAGCAACACCTCGTTTCTTTTCCGCGGGTGTCGTCGTAAGGGGCGATTTAGGGAAAAGAAGGGAAGGGGATAGGCTGACAATCTGTCGTTATAGTGATACCACAAAAATTTGTCAAACGACGTGGCGATAGCCACCGTAACTTTACGCTCTGCCTCTGAGGGGAAAAGGCCGTGATGTTTCTAGATACGTATCAATAACAAAATCACGGTATTCTAAGATCGTATTGAAAAACTGGTCAATAACTGGGACCTGGTTTGCAATCGGTACGTGCACCCTATTTGTGTATGAAAAGGAAACGTCGTCGTCGCGGGCGGTCTTGTGACTTGTACAGTGTAGGCGAACTAGAACTGTTATAAATACAAAATGTTTTACAGTGCAAATAAACTTGCAGCCATGCTCAGTTGATCATTTTGTAAGGAAACAACATGGAACGTTTTGTAGACAATCGTGGGCTAAGCCAAGTACCTTTTTTTCAGAAACTTTTCGATGCTAAAACTTACATTGGGCCTGTGTTTTTGGCTAACACCGAGTTAACAATGTACGATGCCGAGAGGTTAACCAGGCCACGAAGCAGCCACATTGGTAATTATTTTAGGTCAATATATGTTTTTAGAGCTACCTATGGAAAGGTCTATGCTCGGTATCCCTAAATGGATAAAATCTGGAATGAGGCTATTCGCAAAAAGACCAAAGTGACGGACATAGTCTGGAAGTGTAGTAAGCTGAAGTGGCAGTGGGCTGGTCACATTTTGTTGTAGAACCGATATTGATACAGATATGTGTTTAGATTTCCGTGGTTGTTTTCAACATTTATATTATTCTAATCATAGCCATACAGCGTGAAACCGCTCCGAAATATCGAGATAAACGTTACCGCGATAAAGATTACCGCGGTAAGAATCCCGTTGAAAAAAATATTAAGTGTTTTTAGGCAAAGTTCTGATTCCACCCAGTTTAGATTCAAGCCATTCCGAATCCACATAGTTTAGTCGTTTTGTAACTATGTGGATTCGCATCGTATTACCTACTGGAAATTCATGCCGTGTTTAGCCCCGATATGAACATAATAATAGACCTTCATGGTCTAAACTGTAGTCGTAAAACGCAGGTCATGGATGGTAGTAATAAATGAAATCCGTTAAATTATAGTAGTAGGTAATTTGATAAGGGCTGACCCCGCCGTCCTTTTTTAAGCTGAACATTTTGCTCTTCACATAAAGAGGAATATATATTTTGTTGTTTCAATGTAATCAATAATGTCATATTTGAAAATTCATTCACCGTTAGTAAGCTGTGTTTTCCTTGATTGATGCAGGCTACCTGTTATGGCGAAAAAACGCATTTTTCCACCCAAAAACGGGGAACAGAAAGTGATACCGATCTCTCGGATCACTTTCTGTTCCCCGTTTTGATCTCTGATCATACTCCGCCGAGATATCGCCGAAAAAAAAAAGCTTGCGTGAAGGGGTTCTTCAGTTTACGAAATAGTAACAAAATAAACGACATATTTATCGATTAGTAACTGATAGAAATAGAGAGCGGGTCGCTACCTACTTCCTGCTTCCGAACTGATAGATAACCCTTCAATAACAAATAGTTAGGGTGGTCGCACATCTAGATCCATTTAGCACGAGCCGTTTTGGATGTCGTTT